CATTGTTTTTGCCACATTCTGCAGCGACCTGTACTCTAATACCGCGGTCATGGGGTGGCACGTCCACAAATACAACATGGCGAATTTCGTCCTCAAGTACAAATTCACTTGGTTTGTAGTCCACTTGCACATGTCCGCAAACGCGATCCGGCAACGTTTCTGCCTTTTAAACGCCCGGTTTCACGACATCATCAGGTACCCAAAGTGCGAAACACACATACTCAACTACATGAAATGCCACGACATGTTGTGCGGATTGATCGAATTCGTCAACGACACCTACAGCTTCCAGATTTTAATCCTAGAAAAAATTATCGCTCTTCATGTAATTGAAACGACCTGTCTGTGTTTATGGTTCGCGTCCGAAAACTTCAACGCAGTCACGTTCTTGAACAACTTCGTCTGGAGTGTGGACTTTATGGTAAGTTTAGCGTAACAGAACTTGGAGTAAATCGCGCTTTTTAGATTTGTGGAGCTCTGATTTGTTTTTCGTTGGGAAAAGCCAGTGCGGCGGCCCAGCGGATGGTGGTTCTGTGTCAAAATGCCCACTGTAACACCAAGAATCCAGTAAAACGGAAAATTTTGATGCAATTTTCGAAGCAAGTGGTGTTGACCGAACCCGACTTTTGTTGCTTGGGGTTTGTTTCGGTCAACTATAGTTTGTTTTTAAAGTTGTTGACTTCTATTTGTAACTACATTGTCATTGTTTTGCAGTTCGATGAATAGTAGACTCGTTTGTGTTCTTGTTAAGCTATGTTTTTAATAAATAAAAAAGAGTTTTTGATGTCAGTGATAAAGCAAGAAACATTCGGGTCTTAACCGAGATCCTTGAACAACCCCTTCGAAAAAATTGTTTTAACCATGTGCCGTTCGACCTCATTACAACGTCGACAAGACATACAGCCTTCGGATTCTGATAATCGGCAAAATTATTGCTGTGGATGTGGTCGAAACGCGCTATTTGTGTTTACTGTTTGTTATTGACGACCGAGCAAAGTTTAGTCTCTCCCGACTTCGTCTAGAGTGTGGACGCATTTTTGTTTTCGTGCTTTCGAGATGATTTTCACTTTTTCTATTTTTTCACTTTGGGGGGAAATTTGTGTTGCCTAGAACAAGCACTTAGTGACGGCCTTGGAAGCTTGTAATTCTTGTAATTGTGATTAGGATGTTAGTATTGTAGCTATTAATAAAATTACTTATTTTTGTAATGACGGACGATTTTTAGATGACCTACATACGATAATGGAAGTGTTTTTCTAATAACACGTTATGTGATTCTGATCGTACGTACGCTATCTATCAGGATATTCGTGTTTACAATTTTAAAATATCGTTTGATTTGGCTAATTTTTGCGTTGATTTTCATGCAAACACTGATAAGGATTTCGCTGCTGTGAATACTTTATCAGTGTGTTGTCTGTGTTTTGTCGATTAGTTCCAGACGTGAAAGACACACGTTAAAACAATATCAATTTTTAAAATCGTAAAATAACAGGGTCAAGGCCGAAATAACGACAAAAATGGTGGATGCGCCGGGACATTCAATACCCAGTAGGTGCTCCAAAATTTCATTATTCCATGAAATTAAAACGCTAGTTACACGCTTCACGCTATTAATACACCTTGGAAATTGTACAGAAACAACAATTTACTAAATGAAATAGATCAACATTTCCACACAGTCTTTAATTTCCACGACAATGTGGCTGAAACTAATTTCACGTTTAGTAGTCACCGTGCACAAAATTTTTGCAATACCACTTGTAACCTCATCAACACAATCAAGCAACATTTTTCGAAAAATATACAGTTTTGTTTTTATAACAGGGGTTGTGTGCATGACCACATGGATTCTGAACGGTAAATTCAAGACCATTTACCCCACGTACAAATCCTCCATGATTTTACTCGACTCCGCCTCCGCTATCCTTCTAGCCTTCTTAGACATATACGACATCGCCATTCGCATCCTCCTCAACGAAAAAAAACACTGCTCTTTCATCGCCAAGCTCCAAAAAATCGACCAGTTCTTGGGTTTACCCCCGAACGACAACCACATCAAGGTCAGCATCTCCCAACACTCCACTAGCATGATCACCATGAACTTGATCATTTTTTCTACGATCGTCTACGACGCGTATACTAAAGACAGCGTCATGACCTGGCACCTCTACAAATACAACGTCGGGATTTTCTTCCTCAAGTACAAATTCATCTGGTTTGTCTTGCATTTGCACATCTCCGCGAGCGCGCTTCGACAACGTTTCTGTCTTTTGAACAGTCACTTCGAAGACGTCATCAGGAATCCGAAGTGCGTCACGAAGGTGATGAAGTGCATGAAGTGCCACAGCACACTTTGTGATTTGATCAAATTCGTCAACGACAACTATAGTTTCCAGATTTTAATCATAGATAAAATTATTGCTTTGCATGTGGTGGAAACGAGCTGTACGTCGTTATGGTTCATGTTTGAGGAGTTTAATCTACCTTTTTTTATTAACAACTTGGTGTGGACTATGGACTTCGTGGTAAGTTTGGAGCGGATTTGTTTTTTTTTTGAGATTGTTTTATAGATTTGTGGTGCTGCGATTTGTTTTTCGTTGGGGAAGGCGAGTGTGGCGGCACAACGTATGGTTATTCTGTGCCAGAATGCCTATTGCAACAGTGACGACGCAGCAACGAAGGAAATTTTGATGCAATTTTCCAAGCAGGTGGTACTAGCGGACCCCGATTTTTGCTGCTTGGGGTTTGTTTCGGTTAATTATAGCCTGTTTTTGAAAATGTTGGTTTATATATGTAACTACGTCGTGATTGTGTTGCAGTTCGACGAATATTAGAATAAGTCGTTCAAATAAAGCAGCTTCTAGTCGTGTTTTAACTCATTTAAAGTGAGGTTATGTTACACATAGCGCACAAATTTAATTTAATTGTTTTCGATAAACCGTGGTTTTTACCTTCATGATGAACTCCAATACGACCTGTTTTTTCAATATTTCGTGTTTTATGGCGTCATTACGATAAAAATAAACTTTACTTACCTTAAATCTGCAAAAGTGCCGGTGTTTGAATTTCGCAAAAATCGCGGAATTAACGTCAGTTTGGCTGCAACTACACATTTGCAGGCGTTCACACAACATTTTCGGGTTAATTTCGCCCAAAAAATACCACAAAAGTACCTACTTTTAATTAACACTTTCTTCGCTCCAACAACCTCTGCTACACCAAAATGGCTTCGCCAATAGGAAGCGACTATTTTTCAGCGTCACAAAATCTGGAGTCTGTTATTGGTACAGAGTGACAAAATTTAAACAATTTTTACGAATGGCTAATTTGTCAGCTTACACTCGGTGAAAAAGGCAGCCAGGTTTAAACTAAATAATACTTTCCAGATTTTTTTAACAAAAAGGGAGATAAAGTAATTGGCTTTAAAGTCTTTCTGGCTATCAATAAATGCTTTGTTGACGATTCGTCGAATAATTGGGTGCGCAAGAAGATTTTTTTAGTGCGTGGTTAGGCAACCCAACATACAACTAGAATTTCCAAAAACACCCAAAGAACTGATGAATGTGTTCTTAAATTGGATTTTGCAGACAATAGCTTACTTGGGGCGCGAGATATAATAGGAAATTGTTGGAAGGACAAACGAGAAAGTGCTGATAAGTGTTTTTGTTAAAAATAACAGCGAAATTGTCAGGTTAGGTCAGGTCAAGTCAGGTCTTTACAAGTGGGTCTGTGGAGATTAATTCTAATTTTAAAATATTCCACTGGAAAGGAAGATCACTTTGGTGAACTGATCCTTCTAGGAAATTCTTTTTCTACGGATGTCTAGAAGACCAGATGAAGCAAAAGATAGAGAACATTTTAGAGGAACAGATGAGTCTGAAAATAAATCATTGAACACAGATTCAATCTTTTAATCTTTAATTAGGTTCTTCTTCTTCAAGTGATGCATTTTAAAATTGGTTGTTTTCGTTGTTGGAAGCCAGCGTAGGAAGCGTACTTTCTCTCGTCGAGCGAAGCCTCCCTGAGCAGTTAAGTGACCTCTCTCAAGCGTTACGTAACCAGGGCCAGAAGCATCTCGTGTCAATATTAATAACCTCAAGCGAGTCCAGAAGATTGGATAAATACAGGAATTTACCGTCATTAAAATGGCAATGGATCAATCAACCCAATAAAAAAGGAGCAGACTCACGTTATAGATCGCGCAAAAATCGCCGAAATAATTCTCTCCCATTAGATAGATGCAATTCAAATCAGCGGTAATCTATTTTAAGAAGTGCAATTGAAGGAATTTAGTGCACGCCCACGTGCCGCCCGCATTAAGAAAATTGATCATTGGCGCCATTATAAATCACGTTAGGGCCACGTGGGCATTTTCGACGGCCACCTGAAAATTGGAAGAGCGAATGCAAGCAACAACCTATTTATCGACAAGAACCGAAATGTGCGCAGATAAAGCAATTATTTATAGCTATTGTAATAATAAGCTGTCTGGCGCTATGGCTGGCCATTTTTTCTCTTTCTATAAATAACGCAAATGTTGAGAAAACAATGACCCTGTGTGCTCATTATAAGTGTTTATAATGTTGTGGTATGCGAAAGTAGGTACACAGGCCTTATCTAGGTACATCGGGGGTAAACAGAGGCCGATGTACCGAGCGTTTCGGAAAAAATGGGACCAAACTTTGACCACGAATTCTGACATTTTCACCTCTTCCGCGTTTATTTTTCTGGCGTTTTTTTCCACGCGGATGTCCATAATCGCCGGCTATAAATAGGAAATTCAAAATATGCTAATCTCGAGATGCTACAGTCAAATAACGACCAGTAAAAATGTCTTTAATTTGATAACAGCTATCAGCTACAAATATTTACTAGTTTTTTCTAAATGCCATGAACTGTACCTACTCCGATAACCTTAGGTATTTTCGATATTGTAGGGATAACACTGTAACAATGTTGACCACACGTGTCCGTTCCGTGTCAATTGAAACCCCCTCTTAGAAAAATTCGAATAATTTATTACACGCTCTGGCTAGGACTAAATGCAACAATAACGTATCACAATGTCACTAAATAAATACCGCGACGATTTCCCGATACACATGGTGCGTTCCTAATTCTTAAGTGCACTGAAGCGGACGAAGCGGACCTAAACCTAATTTTATCACAAACTAAATCACATTTTCATCACAAGGTCACTTAAGGCAGTTCTATCGCTTCCTGTTGCTGCCGCAGTACGACGACAGTTCCTTGTACGAACACGGTTTCTCACAGCACTCGTTGAACACGCCCCGGCGCCTCCGAGGCCGGAAGTTGGTGATGAGGGACGACGCGATGGCCCTGTTACGGAAGGGAAAGTCCTGGCCGCGCTGGGACTCGACCGCGCGACCCCGATTCTCAATATCGCTTTTCTTGTTAAGGGTGTTGTAGTTGCCCTTGCACACTGCGGATAGCGTCTGCGACAAGTTCTTCCCGCAGTAGATTTTCTTCGAGTCTGAATTATTTAAGGTTGACATTTCGTCCGTCTTCACGCTGTGTATGGTTGCCAATACCGTCGTCACCACCATAAAGACATACTGGAGATCCATCTGCAAAAACGCAAGAGTCAGCGTCACGTAAATGCATCCATTACTCCGCATGCATCTGCTTATAAACAATGAAGCTGTTCAACTTGGTCAACGACGATAATTTGGTTGTTATTTTTTATTAGATTACCGAGCCGAGATGGACTCAAGTACCTACATGGAGAAAGTGCCAATGAAGGCAATCACTTGTTGTACGCGAGGGAAAGCGGACCGGCGATACCAACCAAACCGGAAAAGACTCGTCTAAATTTAGTACCACCTTTACAAACCCCGAAACCATCTGGCAAAGTTATTTCGATAAAAAGTCATTGCAATGGTACGTGAAAAATTTAGATCCTCGAGGTTCGGTACCACTTCGCGAACTATCCGAATTCTAAACGCTTCTAGCTCGTTTGGCCTCGTTACCTTGATGTTTTCCCCGAAACTCCTACATTCGTCCAGATGCTGGCTTCAACGAGCGTTCGCCACCTTATCACAGACATCACAAAGTTCAGACATCACTGTATCAACACCCGTTTACTACTGCAACAACCGACTGGCCGGAGGCTGGGAGATGGACACACTTATAAAATACATGTCACATGTATGGAGGTCGGCGACGTTCGATCGAATGCTGATCACTCGATGTTTCTTCATATTTGAAGATGACTCAACGCGTTTCGGCTATTAGATAGATTGACTTTTTGACTTGGCGGCACGTGTCCGGGCGGATTTGATTTCATCACAGTGGCGGATTGTCTTGAGCGGACTTTGGCCGGGGCGTGGGAGGCAGAGGAGTTCGTTTATTGCTAATTATTGGGCGCAAGGATTTTACCATCTGGTACTACCGAGACACCAAAGCGGATTTTGGGGATCCTGCAGGACAAGAAAAAATTAAAATTTCACTGTAGTCGTATCCCAAGAGGAAATCAGAGTTCTTTCGTGTAATGGTTCAAAAGTACCCTTTCAATTTTTAGGGACTAATTCTAGGAACGGGTTAACTGACAATTATTACATAATCACCCATAAACTTTGACCACAGGATTGCAGAAAATTAATGAGTTTACTTATTATTCTTTAATTTTACTAGAAGTAAAGTCTATTATGATAACTGGTTTTGTTTGCACTCTTGTAAACAAACGTCCAATTAGTACATCGACGTACCAAGATTCAGTACTCAACAACAAAGTCGCTTGCTCATTAGCGACACCTCCTCTCTTCTCTTAGGTACCAATATTAAATTATGAAGAAACTGCGGTACCATAAAGCTTCAACGTAAGTCTCTTTCTTTTTTGACTTTTTTTTTTGCGTTATCACCCGTTCCTAATCACGTGAACAAAGAATTTGCACAACCTTTGCGAAGTTCAAACTTTCCATCCATCTTTTTTTTTGGACTCATCTCCCCGCGATAACGCAATTACGAAACAATTTTATCACCCGAATAAATTCTTTCGCCCCCCCTACTTAACATCTATGAACACTAGACTCACAAACATCTATTTTTAAAAAACCATTTTATTTATAAACACAAACATAACTCATCTACGAAAACATGAACAAAACAAACCGAGAAAATAAGTCTTGAGCGTATCACAGAGCAAAAAATCCGATACAAGATCTCTTCCTTGGTCGTGCCCCTCAATTAGTGAATCTGAACCCGCGGCAAGTTCAATCACCAGCTATCGCCGTAGTACCGGCAAAGTGCAAGTACTGCCGAAACTATTTTAGACAAAACCAAAGTACGCGGGTTCGTTCAGGGTCAAGGAGAGCAAAATAGAGCGATAATTAGCGTAAACATCACTGACCTCTGTGTTTGCACGACACGGACCCTTTTTAGTACCCCGCTGAGACGGTACTGCTCAGACGGTGCGTTTAGCCCGAAATTGGAGGCAGAGTTCAAGGACGAGAGACACTCGTGTCACGCATGGAGCAAGGACGCCGAAATCGCCGGCAGTACCGCACACCTTTCCCGGACGGGTCGTCGTCAGGAAGTGTTGACAGCAATTATCGCAACGTGACACTTATCTGTGGTGATGCAACTTATAATGAGAACAGTTTGGATAAAAATGTATCGAAAAAAAAATTCAAAACACCGAGATAAAGCTTTAACTCGCGGGTATAAATAGAACGTGCAACGTTCTGGTTCAACTGCAATTTTTTTCAACGTAATTTGCGCATTTTTCTTATCGGGAGGAACGTGCAGGGTTTCGGCGATAATCCGGGGGACTTCCGGGACGAGTGGTGCCAGGTCTCACCACGTTATCTCAAGTGGATCCAGGTGGGAGCGACAAGTGGCTACAGGATCTCGTTGTTGATGCTTTTAAGCGTGGAGGAGTACCTGTAGCCGCGGAAGGGGGAGTACCTGAGTGTGTTCTTCAAAGATAGGTAGTTTTTGAAGACGATGTACCACGAGGACCAGAAGAAAACTGGAAAGCTTTGGTTAGTAAGATGGAATTGGGGGTCGGGGAGGTGGTACCGATGAAGACGAAGTTTATGATGCTTTGGATGCAGTCTCCGGTTGCTACGTAGAGGGTGCCGTAGGCGGTGGCCATGCAGAAGATGGGGGCGGTGAAGCACAACCACGGAAGGAGGCAGACGTGTTGGTGCTGGAAGGAAAACAGTGAAATAGCGAAGATGGGTGGAAGGTACTTACTCTGCACGCCCCCACGAACAAACTCACTATTATTCCCAGCTGTAACATGTTTATTAGAACTATGTAAGTCAGTTGGTTGAACTGAATCACTTCTTCTAAAACGTACAAATCTAGTGCGATTTCGTATATTCGAAACAGTAAAAAAAGCTACAAACAAATTTAAAAAATGGGAAAAATTTAAATGTGGTACTTACTAAGTGAAATATGCCTATGAGGATCGTAGGATATTTTAAATCTATTTGAAAACAGAGTTTCACATACATGATGATAGCAAAGTATGTAATGGATTTTCAGGAGGCACTCTACCGTTATCTATAACCAGAATCATCGATCTTTCTTTTATCTTATCGTTGTATTATATATAAATGTGGAGTAACTAACATAATTTTTCAAGGCTTGTTAAAACAGATGATATCACCTGATGATTTTGGAGAAATATTAAGTCGTACTGGTTCAAATTTTTTAACTTTAAAAATTATCTACTTTTACGACGCTATTTGCATGGATATGGGTTAATACACACTAAATTTTATATGTAGAAATCTATTTATGTACACATAATATTTCAAACAGGTGATATGAAACGATCTTATCACTGACTGGACCTATACACCTTATTTATTTATCTAAGTAAGTACCTTGACTAACAGGTGTGTCATAACATTAGTTTAAAAGTAAATATGTGCTGATTCACAATTTCTCTAAACTAGAATAGCTACATCATTTTACACCTAATTCATACCGAGCAAATTTCCGTGTTTTGTTGAGTCAAAACTTCATCATACATCAACAACCTCTCAAAAACGTTCTTGTCTAAAATGACAGACAAAACGCGTGTCAATTAAATTTTCCGAATTTCAACTTTCAAAGCTGGTTTCCAAAATTGTTAAAAATGGCAGCGGCACTTGCAGCCGCAGCCTTTGGCAAGAAAGAAGAAGTGTACGGTTTCCAAACCTTGTACCGAGAGTTGGGGTACTACATATCCCGGCTAGAACAATATGAGAGAGGTACCATCATACGAATTTTACTTTTTCGTTAACTAACCCTTTCCAAGCACTTAAGTTCTTCGACCAAGCCATCACAAAGACCCCTCATGACCGCAGAGCCTTGATGGGCCGGGCTTGGGCTAGATCAAAAGCATGCAAGTACGAAGGCGCCCTCAACGACATCAGAACGGCTCTAGAGTTAGACCCCGACGATTTGGTCATGCTGGCGCACAAAGCCCTTAATACCTACCTGAACTGCGAGTTTGAAGACGGCTTAGTACAAAACACCAGACTCATTCCGAAGAGGAAAAAACCGGATTATTTTCAAATGGGTGCTATGCATGTGAGTCCTCGACATGATTAACCCTCTCTAGACTTACTCTCCACAGTGTGCAGACGCCATCGAAAACTGTCTAGGAGAAAGAGCGGGACGACCTCTCCGTGACCACTACCTCATCATTCGCAAACTAGCATGGAAGAAGAATTTCGAAGAACAGAAACGCTTCCAACCCAAATCCAGATACAAGAAGAAGAAAAAGAAGAAAGTTATCCTCCCGGAAAAATTTAACGCTAAAGGCGACCCTATCGTACCTTTACGATCCGTGAAGAACATCCAGTCGCTGACGTCTAATTTCTACCAATCCACCACCAACCACACTGACCCCGGATACGAAACCCAAAGCATCGTCGACAGCATCTACTCGCAAAAATCCGAGCACAACATCGAACCCCCGAAGATCAAATTCCCCTACAGGCCGCTGCAGCGCTACACCAGCAACATCCAGAACTACATGGCGGAGAAGTACCTCGACACTCTTTACAGAGACAAACTCTTTTTGAAGAACCTCCCCAACGAGCCCGGGATAGCCTGTCCCAACGAAGCCGGTACCGAAAAAATCCTGCTTCTGGCGAAAACCGGCTACAAAACTGTTAAATACAAGCAAGAGTTGCTACGAGCTCGCAGACCTTTCTACTTCATCAAGTACCAGGAGGCTACATCTTCCGGTGCTTTGAAGGAGCGACAACAAGAACAGATGAATAAGTTGCGCGAAGCGGCGAAGAAAGACGCCGAAGCCATCGTGACGAAGATGAAAGAAGCGCTCCAGGAGAGGAGTTGGCGAACGGTGCTGGAATTAGGCGAGAAACTGAAGACTTACTGCGAGCTTAAGTCGAAGAAGGTTTTGCCCGATAGAGAGAACTACCTCGAGGTGTTGTACGACACGGTGTGTCAAGCGCACTACGACCTCAAGAGGATCAACGAGAATCAGCTGGAGTGGGACCAGGAGAAGAGGATTTATAAGATGCTGGGGCTCCATTTGAGTCGAGAGCCGTCGACGGACTCCGTCATTCAACAATTCAAAGGAGTATTCATCGACTGGAAGTACGTAGGTGCGATTTGTAGTAACCCGACTCACTATTTCGTTTAGGAAACAAGTGAATATTTACGGAGACCGTCTACGTAGAGCTACCAGTCCCCAGGAGATGTGTTGGTTGTACCATGAGCTGAGTAGGTTCCACACTGAGTTGAAGCAGTACGAACTGGGACGAGTTTACGCCAGAAAGTGCATGAACGAAGCCAAGCGCATCGGAAACAACAAGTGGGTCATCAATTCGTTGCTTCTGGTCATGAGGATCAACATCGCTCAGCATAGTAAGAACGACGCAAAGTCGGATGCTAGCGAAGCTTTGGAATTAGCGCAAACCATGGGAGACAAGCAGTTAATTACTTTCTTGAACAAGGTACGACTTTCTTTGGTACGATTTTTTCTGATAGGGTTTTAGTGTCGGCAAGTGATCGACAAGGTTGCCTTCGACGAGAAACTGGGACCGAAGGTGTTGATGCAGCGTGAACAGAAGATTGTGGAGATGATGGCTGGTGATAAGATGAAGGACGAAGCGGCGCATCTGTTCAGGATGATGTCTGCGATGCCGGCGGCTAGGAGGATGTCGGTTATGCCGGGGATTAGGATCACGGACGACGACGACGGCGAGAAGAAGGCGATGGTAAGTGGGGGCTTGAGTGGTGAGGTGGTACCTATAGTGGTTCCAGGCGGCAAGAAAACAGTCGATCATGCCTGGAGCGCAGAAGCCGGTTGAATTCGACATGCCTAAGACCACAACGAAAGGAAAGAAGGCTGCGGTGAAAGACTCGAAAGGAGTGGGCTTTGTCGAACTCATTAAGTACCACATTGATGATTAGAATTGTCGTTTGAATAAAGGTTGTGACTTAAAAGAGCTACAGTTTCAAGCTTTTTATTAAACAATAGCACACGCATAAAAAAAGTTAATACTAAGCGACTTATTTCCTACCGACTAAGCGTCTATTCTGAGATGACTAGAAAAAATATGTCCAACTTTTCAACAATAAATAAGTACATCTTAACGTCTACCATTTCGCGACTACACAAGAGAGCAGATGTGGAATTTTGTATAAAATTTTTGGTTGAAACGGTACTTTAACAATAAATTTACAATTTTGTCAGAGTGACTCATCTACGATGTGGTGTATGACCTTAGTGTAAAAAGGTTCAACAAAAGTTAATGATGTGTGGAGGTGTCTGGATGAAATACATTTACAGAGGAACAAGTGTCTGTTTGCATCTTCAGACACCTCGCGAAATAAAAGGATGCTCTTAACCACTAAGTTCTGCTTAATCTAAATTTTCGGGTAGATGTGGCGGATATAGTTTTTTCTTAAAGTTAAGTTAGATTAATGAGTTAAAAAATATTTCAGTGATGTTATGTACAGTTTGTAGTGAATGTAGCAATAAGTATTATAAAAATACCCAGTTTTACACAGACTAGTCTAGACTAAGGCAATGACAATGAAACTACAATATGTTCGAAGGCCTCTCGTATGTATTTTAATTTAATTGTTTCAATGGTAGAGATCGGTGAAAGTGATTTTGATATTATAACGATAATCTACACTCCTTAAAATTAACTCTAGTCTATCTTACATAGGAAAGTCTGAAGAGATGAAAATGGCAGTCAAAATATCAAAAAACCGTTTACTGTAAATAAAAACTGATATTCATTTCCTCATCACCCTGTGAAATTGCCTATAATAACCAATGGTCCTTTAAAATGGCTATTAGCGACCATAGTAACGATTATCACATTTTTCGTAAATTAACAAACTACTACATATCTCCGGTGCACCCACAAGGGTCAATGATTCTCCCACAAGCATCTACATCACTCGTCCCACCTACTCAAACAAAATCTCATCGCCTTTTTCTCCGTTTCGTAAAACCATTGACTCTTTGGAGACCCCGTTACAACCAGCCCGTAGGCCCATTGTGCCCACTCAGCGGGATGACCCCGGGTAACTTAGGCAACGACTGCGAATTATTCCTAAATTCTTCTTCCGGAGTCTGCGAAGACCCAGTCGCTTGGTTACTAGACGAAGAATAGTAGAGAAGAGGTTCCCTGGAAGAGGCACCCGCATTGTGTTGCCCTGCCGCCGCCACGCTCTCTTCGGTGGTCGAGGGCGTCAGCGTCGGCGGTGCCGAGATGGGAATCTCAACGGAATCTTGGTGGGATTGGGTCTTGTCGTGGGACACCATTTGAATCACTTCTGGTACGCGAGTAGGAACGCTGGAGGCTCGTTTCAAAACCTGAGGAATCTACAACAAACGAACAGAGATTCGCGTGTATAGAGTGTTGCCTACATGTTTACCTTCTTGGGGGGTTTCTTCACGCTGGCCACTTCCCTGGTCGCCGCCGCCACGATCGGACTCGTGTTCCTCGACGCCGAGAACTTCTTCCTCTTCTTCTTGAGTAGGGCTAGCCCGTGGGCCAGCCCGTGCAGCTCCGGCTCCGGGTGGACGGGCACGTCGAGGCTGGGGTTCGAGTCCGACGACCGCACCGAGCCGTTGTCGTCCGACGCCGGACTATTGCTGTGACTGTGGGAGTGGTTGTGTCCGTTTTCTCTGCAGTTGTTGCAGACTGAATCTTCGGAACGGGAACGTCCGATCAAACGGGAAACTTTTCCAGTTTTTGCCGCTTCGATCAAGGTTCCCCAGCGGCGTTTGTGCGAATGACTTCGTTTCAAATGAAACCTAAAAGCGTCTCGTTACACCCGTACGCGGAATTTCTCGAGTGTGCACTTACATTCAAAGCGTCTAGCATAGGCATACTAAAGAAACGGAATAAAGAAGAAAAAGTAAGCTTTTGCCTAGTCTAGCTGTGAAAGGGTGTCAAGGGGTGCTGCTATACCTGCCGATTCCTCGATGGTGGTGGTTGTGGTTTTGCGAACCTTCGTTGATGCTGCCTTGCGAGGACGAGACGGTGCTGCTGTGCTGGTGGAGCTTGCGGGGGGTGGAGTTGAAGATGCCGGATAGAGTGCTACCGAAGAAGTCGTGGTGGTGGCCCTCCTGGTGGCCCTGGAGGGACGCGATGAACTCGGCCACGGGGGGTAGAGACCCGGTGGCGGTGGAGGGCTGGGGGCCGATGTTGAAGCCTTTCATCAGTCTTCGCTCTTTCTGGCGGTTCTTCTTGCCGCCGGTACCTGAAAGAGACAAGTATGATTTCGAGAAAAATAAACCGCTTGTGATTGCCGGAGCGAGAATTATTAGGTATTAGAGTGTAATTTGCCCTCGGTTTGATTGGAAATATCGGCAGAGGGTGGAATTCCGCCTCTCGAATACCTAACAAGGCAATAAAAATCTGAGATTGGGCTTTCTTTCTTAATTACCCATGCCGCTGTGCGCCGTCGACGTGTTCATTCCAGAATTTTTGAGTATTTCAATAAGTTCGAAGCGAAACGCTGATATGTCCTGTTTGATTTCATTCACGTCATCCTCGGTAACTCCCTGATTTTCCGCCTTTCTTTGTTCGACTGTCACGTAGCGGCGCACCAAGTTTCGCATAATGCTCTATAGAAAAGTCGACAATGTAACTCCATCAGTTTGTACAATAATGCACTTAATTATCTCACCTGATATCTGAAATCTCTCTCGCTCGCCTGTTTAACTTTCCTCTGCAAACAGAAAAAAGCGTTACTCCACCCCGACACGCATACCTCGTCCATTCAGCTCTAATAGGAATGCATACATGCACTCTGCGAATTTAATTAGGGACCGTTCCGCTGATTTATATCCCGCATTTGCATGACACGTACCGGAAATCGCCGCAGACCGGCCCCCAGATCGCCGGCACGCTCTCACTCACCCTTATCGTCCGCATGTGCTCCTTTTTGGCGGCGCGGGAATGACCGCAGAATTTCCGCCGGACCCACTGAATCACGTACCAGATACTCTTGGGGGTCGGGATGATGTTGAACGGAGGGGGCGCGGTGCCCCCCTCCTCGAAATAACTTATCCACAGTTTGCTCCTGGCGAACTTCCACTCGACGTCGGCTCGCTCCTGCGGAAACAATGACCCGAATTAGGACCGGGCTACGTAATCTAAGTACTCTGCTTGCATCTCCTGCAAGGAATCGGGCTAAACCCGGTGACGCGTCCCACCTTAAATCAGTTTTACTAACGCCCAAGAAATCCCAAGAAGGCCTCTGCAAAACCAGTTACAGTCGAAATGCTGCGGCATGGACGATACAGGGCAAATTGAATTTTCGCGACGCAGGAAACGTCGATCTGGCTCAAACGCGGCTTATTTATGACCGTCAAAAGGTAAATATGTTGTTTCGGAATCTCTTCTTGGCTTCGTTCGAAGTTGATTGCATAATGCTTGCGTGACCGATGATCGCGGTTCGTAATTACGGGAAAAGTCTGGAAAGCATGCGAGGTTGTCGAACCTCGTGGGAATATCGACGAGGAAAGCGAACGGCTTTTTAATCACAACTTCAAATAATGCGAATTGTTTTGGAAGTTTTTCGTGGAAGATATTAGAGAAACTCCCGGAGGAAAGTCCGGGCCCGAGTTTAAAGTGCAAACACGTTGCCGGACGCTAATCCACTTTTGCTCGTATTTGCTTTCAATTTTAAGGTAATTTTTTGTTTGCGGTGGTGCCGTGACCGGGATTACGGGTACGTCGTAGTCTTGAGGGGCGTGGTGGCAATCAAGGGTTTCCCTTACCGAAATCAGTTGATATGAATGATTCATCATCGCAATCAGTAAGTTGAGCAGAACAACGATGTTAATAACCGAATAGGTCCCAAACATGAGCATTCCCCAGAACCTCGTGAATATTTTAATTTCGTTCAGCTCGAAGCTCTCCAAGTCGACCAATCCGAACACGGCCCAGAACAGCGTCTGACTGGTTTCGAATAAGCTGCAACATAATCGAATATGACTTGATTAGAACCCTATCTGGGATGCAAATTTATTTGAACCCCCAAGTGTGATTAATGGCGAAATTTAACACGAAAATGAAGAGAAGCTTTTAATTAGCCGCTCGATACTTACTTCGAAAACCTCCTCCATATAATGCAGGCGTTCGTGTCGTTATTTTCAGTCCGATTTAAAGAAAGACTCAAGGGTTCCTCGTCGGGACATTTCCTCCGTTCGGCTTTAGCATAATATGAAAGGAGCTGATTCAGACCTGAAAAATATCGCCCGAATTTGCAAGTGACGCCGGCTGGACGGAATAGTTTACGTTCGAGGGTACTCACCGCAAGAAAAGGCGAACAGGACGAGGACGTACAAGAAGAAGAACTTCATTATGTCCATCACCATGCGCGACAGCGACACCTGCAGTGGTCCCAAGTGCGGATTTACGGAGAAAATGTGCACCAGCTTCAGCGAACTGCAAGCCACAGGTAATTTAAACATTCAAGTCTGAGGCGCATACTGGTCACGGCACCAACTCGACGCTCGAGTACTGGCTGCGTTCTCCTACTAAGTAAATAATAATTAATGTAGCTGTTTCCACATTTAGCATTAACGTAGACTGGGTTGGCCGCAGATTTAAATTCTCGCGAAAAAAGCGTCCGCGCTAGCTCGTACCGCAGAATAATCTCTCCCTCGGGACTTGTTCTCATTAAATTGAGTTTATTTTGACTTAGACGCAGTCCTTTCTGCGAAAATGTGGTACATATGTGAAGAAGTAGTAAAATAAATTATAGGGGTGGTCGTAAACAATATTATGTTTATTGCCGCTCGTTCCATTACCTGCACGCTACAGAAAACAGAAAGCTACTTTTAAAGGGGACCGTATAAACCGCTCGAGGAGTCTAAAATCTGTCTCGCCCGAAGTTGATGAAACCGTTCGTTAGTACTTAGAACACGTGGCCACTAATCCTGGAGGGTGTGCCAAGCCGAGATCGATGTCCGAAAGTTGCGAGATTTGTGGTAGCTGCGTGGAGCGGCGAAGAGACCATAAATGCAGGCAATTTAAACTTTGGACTTGAACGCTCGAGTGCATTTTATGCCTCCGAACAAACTAGCGTTATTCGAAATAATAGTCCATAGTTCGATTTAGCAATAAATTTTCGGACGGTTCCACTCCGTCTGGCTTTCCCCGACCAGGAACAAACGTTTATTCATTACCTCTTCATTTCCGAAAATCGTAATGGAAACGACTTCAATTACGCACCGGCATTGTTTAGAGTAAACGATCGCTCGGAAAAAGTTATGGAACATTTTAATATTCGCGTCGTAGTCGGCGTCAGCTGCCGCTTTCAAATCAAACGTGTCGAAGAGGGTGAGGGCAATTTAATCTGCTTATGGTATTCACCGGTTCGTAATGAATTAAACAGCCGTCTAGTGCACGTCAAGCGACAATTCATCTCATCAGTCATATGCGTAGCTAGTTTCGATTATTGAATAGCGATGTGGAGGGCTTTCGAACGAAGAGCGCAGGAAGTGATCCAATTCCGATTTTATTAACGAGATGAACTCGCTGCAGAAACAACAATAGTTTGGACGTGGTGGTGCCGTGACCAGGATGCGATTATCGCGGACTCACCTGAAGATGTTAGCGGCCGAGAAGAGCCCTTCGGAGATCAGCATGGGATCCCACGCGTCCCAGTCCTTCCTCTGTTCGTGCATGGCCACAGGGTTCTTTTGTACCTGCAACCGTCTTTTACTACAAAGCCCCTCTGTCGTCCGCCCTCACCTGATAAATAGAAACTACCCTTAACGCTACCGTCGCTACGTACAACGAGTTTGTAATAAAGTCGATCACATTCCACATGTCTCTCACATACTCCTCGAGCCCGACGTCCCATAACTGTTTTATTTCGCTCCATATTAAACCTAGAAAGCAAGTTTGTGTTAGGTGTGCTTACATAGCGGCTAACTAGTTAACTACACATCCGGACCCATCCTCGACGAAATTAAAGTTCCACCCCGCTGCAAAACAATGTTCCCTTCTTCCATTATCGTCGTGTTTGGGTTATACATTAGGCCGCCGCTTCCGTGTATTATTTCAGCAAATATTTAAATTCAGAACCGCTGTTAATCATTTATTATATTGAAAAGGGTAAATTGGACGGATTGTGGAACAACGGTGGCTTTGTTACAGCTGCAGGTCTGTTGAGCCGGTGGGAACTTTGATCTGGACAGGACAATCTAATTTGGGCTTCTTCTTCTTGTCTTGTTTCATCTTGTTACGGACCTGGAGTAAGTGAATTTGTCGGTGGAAATCGTAAACTAATCCCAAGTCGATTTTTTTACGTGGGCTTGTTAAAGTGGCGTTAATATTCATGTTCACAAAAATTCGATATATATGCAAATAGCTTCCGCCAAATTATGATTCGTTAGATAATTTATAGTTGCTATAGCGGGATTAATGATGTGATTGTTTAGCATAATCAATATCCATTGAAAAACTCAGCCTCACTCACATAATTCTAAAGGCCTTTCAGAATCGGACGCTAAATATTGACAAATTTATTATCGAAACCGATGGAGCACGTAGCCGGGAATCCGAGCGCAGAATTCCAGGTCAATATGTCGACTATTAATCGCGATGGCCCTAATCGAAGGAGTCGTAACTCTAACCGCAATAATTGACCCAAGATCTCTCTCCAAGCACCTCTAAGACGTCCGAATTACCTCATCACATTCTTTAATCAAAATTAGATGGCTCTGTCAACGTAGATTCCCGTCGTAACCCTTCATATAGTGGGCGAAAGCCGCTGAAAAGGGCGTGGCTTATTACTTTTACAACCGGAGTTAGCACTGTCCAGTAAAGCAGCGATTTTTGGAAGAAGGCGGGGTTTAGGAAAAAATATAATCTGTCCCCGTCTTGTTTACAAACACCGCCCCAAAAGAAAACACATCCGTGCATGCTTGACGCTTGCACCCCACGTAAACAATTACGTGAATGTCATGTGGTAGTTTCGTCTCGCCCCGGCCGCCGCCGGAATAACAATGCAGCGTAAACTGTGGAAATTGAAAAGTCCGTTTAGTCTAAGCAAGGAAACAAAAACAGAAAGAAAGCTAATGGGAAATCGGTTGGATGCAATAAAGCCGTTTGTAGTGGTCGTTCTGACCCAGCCAAGTTTAAACCAATTGGAGCCGGCTTTGGAAAAGTGGCAAAGTTTTCTGTGAAATCTCTGCGGCGATGTTTGTTTCAAAAGTTTCGAGCATTGCGTATTTGGGGTACTTACCGAGAACGTAGGCTAGTATTATCCATTCGACGAGGGTGGGATAGGCGCCCCTTTGCGTGTATACGATGCTCGGGTCGTCGAAGAATAGCGTTTGCGATAACATAACTGGAAAAAATGGGCCGTGTAGCAATTTGTTGCGAATTTGGACGAGATCGTATCGGGAATTAAGATTTGAATAATGGGAGATCTAATCGCAGGGGAATTATTCTACGTGGTTTTTGCGCTTTTGGCTCCTTTTTGACTACGAAAGTATAATAAATTGGTAGGAATGTTTTGTCACGTACTACTCGCACTTAGATTGTTCAACTTACATAAAAACGTAATGTAAGACGCGGAATTACAGATGAACTTGATGAAAGGCTTTCGCATGGTCTGGCCGATGACGGAATGTGGTGCAAGGATGTAGGCGATCGAAAAGAACGGAAACAGGACGCCGATCTTCACGATTTCTAGAGCTTGCAGAACCATGTTTTTCCTGCGGAAGCCGGGAAGACCTTCGTACCATATCGATGCCAACAGTTGCTGGACGTTGGAATGAGCGACGAACTGTAAAAAAAAAAATAGTAGCTACTTACAATATTTAAATATTTGTGTGGAAATATATTGCGGCAACCAAACCCTGAAAGCTCGCTCCGAGTGGGAGTATAGAAGACACGAAACAAACAGCTTCGCTTCACCAGCAGAGTATTAAATTACGCGATTAAATTGAACAAAACCCTATAAAACTACTTCCACGATTTCAGCAGCACATGAAATCAATTCCGCTTTTTGTATCTGGAGCGGCTTCGCCTTCTTAGCGATTCCGATACAATTCCTCAAGACAAACCCGACCACATTTCAATTCCGGGAACGTCCAAAACTGTGTTTATATACCCGGAAGGATATTTCAAGCGGTGTTTAACCCCGTTTGATTAATACCCCCATTTCTTTTCTTCAAAAAACCCTTCCGTTTCCTAAAGAGTACAACCAACCCTCGTCTCTCGCTATCATGTTTTCAATTAAATATTCAAATTAGTTTGCTCCCAGAATAGTCAAGCTATGCAAATCATGTGTTGATTAAATTCTGTTGTTGGATATTGATATGAAAAATCGATAGAGCGGTGAAGACGGAGAATTGATGTGGCGCGAGAACGGTAGTAAAAACTCTTTCCAAGTGTGATAGAGTTTAATTTAGTGGACCTAATTGAAAAATAGCTTCCACACTAGATAAAATAGAAGGAGACGACGGTACATTGCAACGACGCTGTTAAATTTCTTATCGTTCGTTTCACCGGGGATAAAACGCAAGATAAAGGAGATTCGCAAGAACAATAAAAGTTTTCATATTCATAAGAAGCTCGGGACGGATGTCGAATTTTATTTCTGGGAAGCCGAAGAGCTGGAGGTGAATACATTCCGCCATTTTGTGTCACAACGCGTTAAATAATAAATCGTTCCTCACATCGCGTTTGATTGATGGCATGCAATAAAAAATCTTAAACATGCCACAACACGCTCTCGCGCTCAAAGTTAATCCAATAACCGCGACTAATTGTTTAGTCTCGAATAATCCGTTCAAATTGGCCAAAAACGCGCTAAGAATCGCTAAATCCGCGTCCCTTAACTCTGATTTAGCCTGACTCGCACATCCACTCGTAAATCACGCCCAATAGGATATTATTCTTCCCGTTTCTATTGACAATTTAAACCTTTCCACAATTTATTATTGTGCTATTATTGCAGAGCGCAGCCCGATTTTCTAAACATGATCGATTCGTCGACAAAAACCTCATCGGAGGTAATCAACCCCGAAGTGTGCCAGCGTGGATGCGCACCTCATGATGCACTTTCAGAAGTGAGGAGTCTCTGCAAACCTAATTACGGAATTAAAGACGGGCTGCCAGAGCTGGGGATCTTTTTTCCTATCTGGATACAGCATCTTGATTAAATTGATAATTTTATTACGCGACACATAAAAGCGGGATGGGAAAGGGCGCTTTTCTACGGAGCGTCGTAAAAATTGGAAATGTGTTGCCAGAGGAGGGAAATTGTAGCGACCATTAAGCACTGACAGACGTGTGACACTAATTTGGATTTATGATGGGTGTGTTTTCGATAAAGGTAAATTGCGGGCCGAGGTAGTGCTGGGAGGGGGATGTGTGGATGGAAAGTAGTGACTGGGGACAAGGGGTGGCTCTAATTAAGACAAAGTGTTTATTTTTTTTTGATTATTAAAGTTGTATATGCAACCAGTTATACATCTCGATTTGGCTAAAATTGAATTAAACGGTTTTAATGTCTCTTGACTAACGCTTGCTACTTTTATTTCTTTCTGTTCCTTTTTTACTTATTTAATCGCTTTCTGTTTCAGGATTTGTGACCGTTTTTGCCCACACTGTCACACTTCGGTTACTTCTGGTGCTTTGCCAGAACTCGATATAGTGGATTTTGTTGACAAAGTTGGTTGTACTTTTGTTAACAAAAAAAAATTCACTGCACATTTGTTGCTTCTGCTGCTATAAAAAAATACCCGAAATGTTAATTTCAGTTACGTTATTCTAAAAAAAGTGTCGCTTTAATTAATTTCGTTACATCAATTTTTTAGTTGGCAATTCTGTCAGTGACAGATCGTTTGTTCCGAGAGAAAATGCAAACTTTGTTTTCCGTTTTCGTGATTTATTTCAACTGAGGTTCGTCGAGAAGTGCGCTCTGAAAGCAATAGAAACGCTCTAAATGTACTAAAGTGAGGTTATGTCGGTTTGGGTTACACCATTCGAAGTTTCCAATTTCAAATTAACTCGGCAAGAATCAATCGAAAAGTACAGTGTTGTGCGAAAATGGTCAGAGGTGATGTTTGAGTGGATACTAAACTACTGTGAGACGTTGAAATTTGTACAGTGGCGTGCGAAAAATTCATAATTGAGTTTAAGGTCGATTTAGGTATGCGTCGTTTATATCATCCGTTGACGTTGCCGTTGACGGATTTTCAACCAATCAAATTGTGGTAGTGTGCAGCGCCGCCTACTTGAAGGAAAATTCCTTGAAGTAGGGGGACATTTTCCATTATTCGTCTCAAAAGATTGTATTTCACATGGTAATTTCTCGTGGAAAAATAAGTATTTTACGATTAAGCTCCATCCCTCGGCTTACGACGAATAAAAAAAAATCATCAGAATTGCGATAGGGCGGGTGGGCGGGGCTTATATTTTGTCTTTTTTGTCTTAATATACATAGCCGTCTTTTCACAACAAGAAACTTAAAACATGGTTAAAATGGAGCAAGGAAATATGGATTTTGCAATTATGGGACGGAGCCTAATTGCAAAATCAACATTTCCTGATACAAATTTTCCATTTCAAACATGTTTTAAGTTTCATGTTGTGAAAAGAAGTCTACACATATTGAAACAAAAAGACAAAACGTAAGCCCGCCCACCCGCCCTGTCTCTATTGTGATGATTTTTTTATTCGCTGTGAACAAAGAGGGCGGAGCTTAACTACAAAAAACTTATTTCTTTACAAGAAATCACGAACACGTTTTTGAGTATCGAGTTGTTCAAAGAATACTATGTATATCAAGAAAAAAAGCCAAAATATAAACCCCGCCCACCCACCCCATCTCGATTGTGATGATATTTTTTATTCCTAGAGACTTAAAATACGTTTAAAATGGTAAATATTTTTAAGAAAATATGGATTTTGCAATTAGGCTCTGCCCCTTAGTTTGGCAACTAATGAAAACTTCATTACTATTTAGATCAGGGCAGGTATGCGTGTGGTTTAATCTTTGGCTTTAATTTTTTCTTAATATACATAGTATTCTTTGAAAAACACGATACTCAAAAATATGTTTTTAGTTTCTCGTGGAGAAATAAGAATTTTACTATTAAGGTCCGCCTTCTTGGCTCACGACGAATAAAAAAAATCATCAGACTAGAGATAGGGCGGGTGGGCGGGGTTTATATTTTGTCTTTTTTTTTTCTTAATATACGTAGCCATCTTTTCGCACCAAGAAACTTAGCACATAGTTAAAATGGTAAAATTGCAAAATCGACATTTCCTTATACAAATTTTCCATTTCAAACATGTTTTAAGTTTCATGTTGTGAAAAGAAGTCTACACATATTGAAACAAAAAGACAAAATGTAAGCCCGCCCACCCGCCCTGTCTCTATTGTGATGTTTTTTTTATTCGCTGTGAACAAAGAGGGCGGAGCTTAACTACAAAAAACTTATTTCTTTACAAGAAATCACGAACACGTTTTTGAGTATCGAGTTGTTCAAAGAATACCATGTATATCAAGAAAAAAAGCCAAAATATAAACCCCGCCCACCCACCCCATCTCGATTGTGATGATATTTTTTATTCCTAGAGACTTAAAATACGTTTAAAATGGTAAATATTTTTAAGAAAATATGGATTTTGCAATTAGGCTCTGCTTCTTAGTCTGGCAACTAATGAAAACTTCATTACTATTTAGATCAGGGTAAGTATGGGTGTGGTTTAATCTTTGGCTTTAATTTTTTCTTAATATACATAGTATTCTTTGAAAAACACGATACTCAAAAATATGTTTTTAGTTTCTCGTGGAGAAATAAGAATTTTACTATTAAGGTCCGCCTTCTTGGCTCACGACAAATAAAAAAAAATCATGAGACTAGAGATAGGGCGGGTGGGCGGGATTTATATTTTGTCTCTTTTTTCTTAATATACGTAGCCATCTTTTCGCACCAAGAAACTTAGCACATAGTTAAAATGGTAAAATTGCAAAATCGACATTTCCTTATACAAATTTTCCATTTCAAACATGTTTTAAGTTTCATGTTGTGAAAAGAAGTCTACACATATTGAAACAAAAAGACAAAATGTAAGCCCGCCCACCCGCCCTGTCTCTATTGTGATGATTTTTTTATTCGCTGTGAACCAAGAGGGCGGAGCTTAACTTCAAAAAACTTATTTCTTTACAAGAAATCACGAACACGTTTTTGAGTATCGAGTTATTCAAAGAATACTATGTATATCAAGAAAAAAAGCCAAAATATAAACCCCGCCCACCCACTCCATCTCGATTGTGATAATATTTTTTATTCCTAGAGACTTAAAATACGTTTAAAATGGTAAATATTTGTCAGAAAATATGGATTTTGCAATTAGACTTTGCCCTTTAGTCTGACAACTAATGAAAACTTCATTACTATTTAGATCAGGGTAAGTATGGGTGTGGTTTAATCTTTGGCTTTAATTTTTTCTTAATATACATAGTATTCTTTGAATAACACGATACTCAAAAATATGTTTTCAATTTCTCGTGGAGAAATAAGAATTTTATTATTAAGGTCCGCCTTCTTGGCTCACGACGAATAAAAACATCATGAGACTAGAGATAGGGTGGGTGGGCGGGGCTTATATTTTGCCTTTTTTTTTAATGTACGTAGTTGTCTTTTCAGAACAAGAAACTTAAAACATGTTTCAAATGATAAATTCTTGTAAGCAAATAAAGATCTTACAATAACCCCCCCCCCCCCTCGATCTGATCGATCATAATTGAGATCAGGGCGGGTATGAGTGAGGCCTAATCTTTGGCTTTATTTTTTTCTTAATGTACATAGTATTCTTCCAACAATACGATACTCAAAAGCAAGTTTTTAATTTCTCGTGGAGAAATAAGGATTTTGCAGTCAAGCTCCACCCCCTTGACTCACGACGAATAAAAAAAGTCATCACATTTGAGATAGGGTGGGTGGGCGGGGCTATATTTTGCGTGTTTTTCTTAATACATGTAGACGTATTTTGACAACAAGAAACTTAAAACAGTGTAGATATATAACTAACGTATATACAAAAGTTGAACATAAAAGTTATTATCAACGGCAACCTGGCAACGGAGTTTTTAAATGACAATTTTCGGCTCTAAAAGCAACGTCCGCGGTAACAGCAACTTCAACGTCAACGGCAAGTTTATAGATTTCACTTTAGTTTTCAAGTGTTGGCACTGCAGTCATTTGACAGCTTAATTGACAGTTATTTGGCCGTAACTGTCAAACCGCACAAGGAAAGCGCTGGTGTTGCCAACATATTTGTCAAGATTAAATTGCAATGGTTGCTAGACAACAGAACACGATTCTGTTATCTGAGTGGTTAAAGTCCAGTTTCTGAAACTGGACCCGATATTAATGGCCAGATTCGCGTGTAAGCCAAGGTTGTTTTTATCTTTTGTTATCGATTTTTTATTTCCCTGATAAGTTAATTCTATAAGAACATTTTAATAAATTTTATGACTGATTTGATGTAATTAGAGGGTAATAACGTGGTAACAATTTGCCATCAAACAAGTCCGATCGGTTTTCAGAATTGGGTAATTTTTATTATTATTGTTGCACTAAAACATGTCACAGTTGGGTGTGGTACGGTAAACCACTTGCTTGTTGACGTAGGAACACCTGATGGGTTCTAAACGAGCACAGCGAGCTGGTAAGTGCGAACAAATTTGGTATTAATTCGATAAATTATCGAGTTACGTGGCAGTTGGTTAAAAAAAAAGAAAGTATAAGGTGGCGCGCTAAAATTAGTCTGCACCTAATTACTTAATGAGAACGAAGGTGTCCGAGAGCACTCAATTTCAGTTTCAGCTTCGCTCAACAACTTATCCAACAACTGTAAGATTATAATATGCCACTTCCACTCTCTTCCGATAATTTATTTTATAAACTTCGAAAGTCTGCAGCACCCTTAATGAAAGTCTTTTTTCTCACGAACGCTTCACCCTCTCCGAGTCAGGCCTCAGGTGGACATGGCAACAAAAAGCAGTGATAGAAAACTAATTAAACTCGAGGCAATAAAGAAAACCAATAACAACCACAATATATTTTTTATTAATCAACCCCCAGCGACGATTTTTATTTTCCCTCGCCATACAGCTCGGTGAAATAATTACACTGGGTATAATCTCCGAACTGCGCCTTAGCAACATCGCACAAAATCTCTCTTTGACAAGCCTCGTCGCATCCTCCCTGTATTCCCGCATCGCCGTCGCGGAATTTAAACCTGGAATAAATTATTAACACCTCGGATACGTTTCGGCTGATCCCACCTGAAATAGTCATCTAATAACGAATGATCCTCGGCCATCTTATAAAGCACTTTGTCGACCTCACTCGCCTGTAAATTATTCACACCGTAAGCTTCGACAAAGCTGTACAGCTTAAACCATTCCGGTGTTTCGGTAGTGGGCCGGGAGTTCGCTAACGTGAGATTAAACGTCCATTCTTCATAATCTAACAGCGTCTGGAAATTAGCAGGTAGAGTCAGGCCAGCGCCAGAGCGCCACTTACAAAGACCGTATCATCGATTGAGTAAATTTTGTAACTGGGGTTGGAGTTGGAGTAAGGGGTGACCGAGGCGCCGTTGTAAGCCACCCCGATGGCTTGCGTGGGGGCCGAGCTGTTATAATAAACGTGGAACTCGTCGCGGTGCGTGTGCCCGTTGAACTGGCCCGTAATAGTCGTGGCGAATCTAAAAGACAAATAGGGGAAATCACTCGGACTCGGGGTTACCTCTCGATGATGCGCCGGTATTCGCGGCTCCAGACGCTCAAACAGGACCCGGACCCCGTAGGAACGTGCGTCAAGATATGCACGCTCTCCTTGGCTTCTTCGGCGAGCTTAAGTGTGTCCGCTAGCCACTGCAATTGCTGGAAAGGGTCGACGTCGTCGTAAATCAGCCACCTTAGGGTGACAAAGGGTGTCAGAGGGCTTGGTCGGAAAGAAGGTCACTCTCACCAGTTGTCCGTGTAGCAAAGGTTGCCATTGACACCGATCACCCGGAATCCGGGACGAGGGCTCGCGCTATAGTAACCCCCTTTTAAGACTGTCTCAGTCACGTCCTGACCAATCAAGTCGGACCATTGTTCCGCCGCCAGCTTAAACAACCACTTGACAGAGAGGCTTTCATCTTGGAGTTGTTCATCGTCGGGCCAGCTGAAACTCTCCCTCGAACAAAAGTTGAATTTATAGCGCCGAACTTACACGTTAAGAGGGTGCGGCTCGTGATTGCCGAAAATCGGGAACACGGGGACATCATACGACTCTTTGAAGAAGGTGTACAGCTTGGCGATGGTTTCCGTGTTGTTTTCGACTGTGGTTTGCCACACTCGGTGACTAATTATATCACCCGTGTAGTAAACGTAGTCGAAGTCTTGGGTGTTCGTCTGTCTGACGGTTTCCTCGACGAGGTACCACGGAGCATCCGCCATGGCATAGTCGGTCCAGTACCCACACGCCGCTTGTTCAGCGGTAGCTTCTCCTTGATCCTCCTGGCAACAAATCGGTTCACCACAATCCGCAACACCGTTTACTTTGTAATATGGGTCGTAGTGGATGTCTGATAGTTGCAAGATGTTGAAACTTCCAGTACTGTCGTCGTTCAACTCAGGTCGTTCTGCTGCGTTTCCTGTTGCTATGTCAATAGTCCACTCGAAACCATCGCCTGTCGGACAACCGAACGACTGCAGAACGGAACCACACAGTCGCTCTGGTTTAATATCAGGGTAGTTGTCCACGATGTAGATGAGAATGTCCGCGTTGAGACTAATCGCACCATGACAAACCCGCTCGTTTTCGATCTCTAGGGCTAGACATATGTATTGCACCGTCTCGACGAGTTGCTCCTTGGTCATCCCGTGTAGGCGTTCGTCCACCACAGCGGTGAACACCGCCGCACACAAAGTACAGATTTCGTCATTATCGTATGCCTTTTCCATGTCTTCGCGAAAGACGTGAGGTATCTTGTAACTGACTGGTGGCGGTTTTTCCCCCGTTTTGATATAGTGGACGAAGCCGTCTTTGGCCAGCTCGAAGTCGGCTAGAGGAGTGTTAGTGTCTTGTAGTGACAAAAGATCAACTTACCCGTGGCAATGACAACCCCCACGAGAGGTAGAAGACACAACAAGAACCTACTTGACACCATTTTTGCTAAAGCAGGTCATAAGCAAATGTCGCTGCATTAAATACTAAGTCTAATCTGGTGACAGCAAGGTGATCAATAATCATCGATCAATTGTAGTTGACCTTCATTTAAGAAAAACAATTCGAAATAATATAGGGACGAAAAAATTAAGGTGCAATCGGGACCCTCTAATCTGTGCAAAAAGATTGATTGTATTTTGAAACATTGTAATAAGTGGCTCAAGTTTCTGACTTTGCTTATCAGTACTTGAAACTACTTAGTTTGTTGTTTGTTAATTTGTTAGTGTTTTTGCAGGCACGTGGAAGACTGGACTCAGACAATCATACTGAGCCTTGGCAAGGTCAAATTGTCTTTTTGACAACGTAAATCAGTTTTAATCCAGTACGTAATGAATCCAACTTGGACGTTATCATGAAGTGTCTTTGCTTGGTTGACGGGTGTTTATCGGAAGAAATTGATCACACTAGACACCTTTGTTATCAATAAATACACATTTTTCGTATTCATCGTTTTATTTTCCACAATTAATAACATTTTTATTTTTGATCATACAGATCCAAAAGCAGGTTACAGCGTGCGTCCTCGCCAAAAACCGTGGTGGCCATCTGACACAAATTCGCTTTTTGACAGTCGTCGTCGCACCCAGCAGCAAGTCCAGCGTCACCATTCCGGAACTTGAACCTACAAACCAACCTTATTCGAATCCACCACTCCACCAAAACCTACTTAAAGTAGTCGTCGAGAAGCGAATGGTCCTCCGCCATCTTCAGCAGAACTTTGTCCACTTCAACCGCATCTAAACTCTCAACGCCGTAAGCCTCCACGAAACTGTACAACTTGTACCACTCGGGTGACTGACTGGACGGTTGTGAATTGGCGAGAGTTAAATTGAAAGTCCATTCTTCGTAATCTTTAAGCGCCTTGAAGAAATTTTAGAAACGTGTTTCTCTATCTAACATTTGCTAACTCACAAAAGTGGTTGCATCCACGTCGTAGAGCTTGTAGCTGGGGTTGGAAAGACTGAAGGGTGTGAGGGACGCGCCGTTGAAAACCACCCCTACAGCTTGACTCGGTTCCGATCGGTTGTAGTAAACCGAGAACTCGTCTTTATGGGTGTGGCCATTGAACTGACCCGTGATGGTGTTTGCGAATCTAGAAACGACGCGACGGTGTAAATAATAACGGGATAATAACTACCTATCGATAATCCGGGAATACTCCCGTCCCCAAACCGAGAGACTGTCGGATGTTCCCGTAGGAATGTGAGACAGTATGTGGACGCTTTCGTTATTATCTTCAGCTTGTTTTAAAGTATCGGCTAGCCACTGGAGTTGTCCGTACGGATCTTTATCCTCGAAGATCAACCACCAGTTGAAGGAGTAGCAAAGGTTGCTGTTGATCGCGATGATGCGAAAACCGGGCTTAGGACTCACGGTGTAGTAGCCTCCTTTGAGGACTGTCTCTCTAATGTCTTCACCGACGAGATCCGACCAAGCGTCAGCGGCGAGTTCGAAAAGCCACTGGATTGAGAATTGTTCGTCGGTCACGCTTTCAGTAGGCCAACTAAAATTGGACGTCATTTTTGTTAAACGACAAGTCGCGAAACGGGCTTACGTGTTGAGAGGGTGAGGTTCATGGTTGCCAAAAATCGGATAAACCGGTACCGCGAAACTATCTTTAAAGTATGAATAGAGTTGACTGATCGTGTTTGTGTTGTTGGTAACACTAGTTTCCCAAACTCGGTGGTTAATAATATCGCCAGTGTAGTAAACGTAGTCGAATTCTTGAGTATTGACTTGTCGGATGGTTTCTTCTACTAGATGCCACGGCACGTCTGCGTCTCGGTAGTCGGTCCAGTACCCACAAGCGGCTTCTTCAGACGGCGCTTCTCCTTGATCCTCTTGACAACAAATGGGTTCGCCACACTCCGCGTTACCACTGGGGGTGTAGTTAGGATCGTAGTGTATATCCGACAATTGAAGAATTTTAAAACTGTCAGTTGTGTCGTTGGGTTTGGGCCTATCCGGTGAGTTCCCACTTGGAAGGTTAATAGACCACTCATAAGCGTCACCTTTGGGGCAACCCAACGTCTGCAAAACCGACCCACAGATGCGGTTTGACGTAAGATCAGGGTAGTTGTCCAAAATGTAGATGAAAGCGTCCTAGCGACACAAATTAGTTGTGGTTTGAACCTTGAGTGCGACTTACAATATTGAGCTCGATCACCCCTAAACAAACCCTGCGACTTTCTATACCCAAATGAATACACAAGTATTCGGCTTCTTCGGCAAGGGTGTCCCGGGTCATACCTTCCCTGCGTTCAAGTATAACTAAATCGACAGCTAGATTACAAATGTAGCAAATCTGGGGGTTGTCGTAGATGTCTTCCATCCCTTCCCGAAACAAGTGTGTCAGCTGGTAGTTCTCCATAGCCGTGTTAAAATAGTCCGGTGGGTTTTGGCTAGGAATGTATTCCTTCAAGCCCCGGACCACCAATTCAAAGTCTGAAGTGTCTGAAGAAAAATATGTAGATGGTGGTTGTGGAACTTTGGACCTACCTTCATTGTTTGCCTCAATCGCCACAAAAGGCAACAAAAAGACACAAATAGCCACACTTAAAATCCGGAAACGTGCCATCGCCGGGACCGGGTACCAACTGTTTATCTTTCCCCCTGACAGGTTACCTTATCGAACGCATAAGTACGATGGATACATATTTTTATTTTGAATTCGATAACAAGTGGCCTTATTAGAATATAATGGTTATTTTTCGAAAACAGTGATGGACCGATTATCGCCGTCGATAAAGATTGACCTTTAAAATCTCAGGTGTTTTGAAGTGGATTAATCCAGGTGCGCTTTTCAATGATCGCGCATATCTGTCAAGCTAATTAGCGATCGCTTCAACTTATTTCCTGTGTTGTGTATTCAGCGTTGGAGTTAATTTAGTCGCTGCGTCGCCATACGTGGCTCCGTTTGCTAAATCCAAAATTAAATGCACTTGTAGCGATGTTTACCTGTGGGTTCTCGTTAAATTTCGTAATCTCTCCAAATAAATTGCCTCGAGAAAAAGTTTGTCAGCACTAAATTAGAATATCGACAGAGCTCCGCCGTTTATGAAGGATGAATTTTAAATTTAAATCCAATCGCTGGGAATAAAAGATTGTCATTTTCGAGGAAAAAGTTTTATTATTTTTTAGGATGTTAGGCGTCGTATAGGGCTAAGAAGCGATTGCATTGATCATTGTCCCCGAATTCGGTGGTCACGATGTTGCATAAAAGATTCCTTTTGCAATTGTCGTCGCATCCGCCTTTAGTACCAGTGTCTCCGTTGCGAAATTTGTATCTAAAATAAAAAATGTTTAGTGGTGGAGGCAACGAAGTAGTGGCTAGTACAAGAAGTAGTTGTCGAGGAGAGAGTGATCTTCGGTCATTTTGTACAGAACCTTGTCCACTTCCGACGGGAGTAGATTAGCGGCTCCGTAGCTTTCCACAAAACTGTACAGTTGCTTCCACTCGACAGGGGCGCCTTCACCCAAAGAGTTAGCAAGGGTGAGATTGAAGTACCACTCTTCGTAGTCCAACAAGTTCTACAAAGTTTGAGTCAACGAAAGTAAAACAAGTGTGACGGTACTAACGAAAGTGCTTTCGTCGACAGAGTAGTACTTGAAACTAGGGTTGGAGTTGCTTATAGGTGTGACCGACGCCCCATTGTAGGCTACCCCGATCGCCTGATTGGGGTCCGACCCGTTATAATACACACGGAACTCGTCTTTGTGGGTGTGCCCATTGAACTGACCCGTTATGGTATAGGCGAACCTAAACAACACGTTTGTACTTCGTCACGACAAGACAAGTCGTACCTTTCCACGATTCTCGAATATTCCCGGTTCCACACTTTCAAACAAGACCCTAAGCCGGAGGGAACGTGCGACAAAATATGGACGCTTTCGTTGTTGTCTTCCGCCTCTTTTAGAGTGTCTGCTAACCACTGTAGTTGATTGTAAGGGTCCACGTCTTCGTAAGTCAACCACCAGTTATTAGTGTAACATATGTTGCTGTTGATTCCGATGATTCTGAAACCGGGTCGTGGACTTACTGAGTAGTACCCTCCTTTGAGTACCGTTTCGGATACGTCTTCACCGATTAAGTCCGACCAGTGTTGGGCGGCAAGCTCGAAGAGCCACTTCATGCCAAAAGCGTCATCCACGGTGTCACTCGGCCACCTAAAATCAAGATCTTCAAACCCGTCCCAGTCATTCTAAAAGAGTTACAAATTCAGAGGGTGCGGTTCGTGATTTCCAAAAATCGGAAATACGGGGACGTCGAACTGATCCTTGAAGAAAGAATAGAGTTTGGTGATGGCGTACGTGTTCATCTCGATACTGGTTTCCCAAATCCGGTGACTAGTAATATCTCCAGTGTAGTAAACATAGTCGAAATCCTATTGAAGTACCATCAGTAACTCAAAACACTCCGGTGGTACTAACCTGCCTCTTCGCTTGTCTCACGGTTTCTTCGACCAAATGCCACGGACTATCCGCAGCCCGGTAGTCCGTCCAGTACCCACAAGTCTCTTCGGGACTAGCCGGCTCCCCTTGGTCACTCTGACAACACAGGGGTTCGCCACAAACCGCGTTACCATTCGGGGTGTAATCAGGATCGTAATGAACGTCACTCAATTGCAAGATCGTGAACGACGGTACTTCGGTATCGTTGGGTTTGGGTCTGTCTTGCGAGTTCCCGGATGGTATCGTAACGGACCACTCGTAAGCGTCCCCTGCAGAGCAACCGTACGACTGAAGCACCGACCCACACACTCGTTCCGACGTGAAGTTAGCGTAGTTGTCTATAACGTAGAGGAAGACGTCCAGGTTTAGGTCGATTACTCCTTGACAAACCCGTTCGGGCTCTATGTTGAGGTGAGTGCACAACAACAAGGCTTCTTTTACGAGGGTTTCCCTAGAGATATTCAGTCGTCTTTCCAGGATGACTGCGTCGATCACCATATTACACAACTGACAAGTCGATGGCTTGTCGTAGACGTGTTCCGACTCGTCGCGCAAGACGTGGGGTAATTGATTGCGTTCCAAGAGGGCGAGAAACTCGGCAGAGGGTTGGCCTGTGCGGAAGTACTCATGGAGGCCTTGTTCGATTGCGGGTAGATCAGCTGAAGTACTGAGTCAGAAAGGTGTGCAAGGGTGGTTTTGGTACGTACCAGCATTTTGTGCAGACGATAACGTAAAAAACGTCACGAAGAACAGTACGGGTAGTTTAGTGGTTGACATCGCAAGATATAGACTATAAATCAAGTGGGTACTTCGTTTTTATCTGGCGCGTTGGCCTGATTCTGTTTTACGAGTACGAACTGGTAATTGATCGCAAGGGATAAGATAGACCCTGAGGTACAAAGTATAGTTACGGCCGATAAAATCTAGACTAGTCTTAAACGCCCGACAACGTAGCATCGTCTTATCGCAACAAATCCTACCTTTTTTTGCCTGAGCTTGATGGCCAGCTTCAACCTGTTCAAGTGCATCCTGTCCCCGTGCTCGAAGGCCGGCCCTGTGGGGTCGTGGTTGAGGAGGACCTCCAGTTCGTAAGAGCTCCTCGTGTGGTCGAGCAGCGCCGTGGCGAAATCCTGGCACTGTTTCCTCAGCTCTTGATACTCGCTCTTGAACTCGTGCTCCATCAGGCTTAACCTAGAAAGAGGCCGCCGGGTCAGGAGCTTCCAATAAAAGAAGTGTCTCGTCAAGTTTGCTCACCGGCGCAACTCCCATGACAGCTCGAACGCCGTTAGGATGGGGTCTTTGGACGAGAGGGCTATCAGAGAGGGCGACGCTAGGGCGCGGTACGCATTTATTCGGCTGCGGGAGTGCCTCAGGGAGTCCTCCATGCGGGAGGTGACGCATTCGTCGCAGCCGCATCTGGAAAACAAGACACAATGCCCGGAGGCTGAGTTATGCAACCAGTTATATTCGCGAATTTAAATCACAATTCTAGCTTGACGGCCGGCTGTTTTGCATAATAAGAGAGCTTGATCAATCTACAGGGAGTTTGACGATCGGTTGATTCGGAGTAATGCACCCTTATTTCCAATCAGTGCAGGCTGCAGCGATACGCGTTTCAAAGCGACGCAAAACTCCTTTTATGTCGGATTTATTGGAAAGCGAGACTTACGGCAGCCGGAAATTCGTTTCGGATTTATCGCCGGTTTCGAAACGCGACTCCTTAGCGCGGGACGAGCCAAACGTGATCTTTTTCGAGCTGACGTTAATCGTCGAATGCATCAGAATTCATCTGTTTGTAAACTACGCGTCAAAACTAATAAGCGAGGAAACAAATGGACGAGAAAATAATTCACGTCGTCACATCGTTATCGGATTTCTCGTCCCTTGACTTTGGCGTGGAAACAAAAAGACCGTAAGGCGACGCATCATCCCTTCCAAATTGCCACCAACAATATTACCTTTCGCACGTTTTTCTTTTATCTTGATGTCACAAACATGCCTAATCTCGCCGCGGCAAACACTTTTCGGGGAAAATAAAATTCAGCTTACTGACGCGAAAATAATAACGTCGGAAACTTCACACATTGTTGAAGCTATTTTATTGTTGTTGTTATTATTAGTTGCCTAGAATAGACACATTTTTGGCATTATACCACTACTTCCAGACGATGAAAAGGAAGTAGGTTATTTTCAACAAGATGGGGCTACAGCGCATTCGACTAGGACCACAATGTCAATAGTACGGGATTTTTTTACAACCATGTGGTGACCAAATTTGAATTGAAATTTCGCACTTGTAAATTCACAGTTCATATTAGGATTTTAAGCGTTAACTGGTTCCAACGAAATTTAACAGTCATAAGTTTGTTCAGATACAAGTACTTGCTAGGAGATTTCATAATTTTCACTTAGTCAGGACTCACCCTTTGTTTATCTAATCATGAATGAGGTTTCTGGATGCTTATACTCAAGTGTTACATTATAGCACTTTTTAATTCCTCACACAAGATTGCTAATAGTTTATTTACGGCAGTCAGAACAATCTAACGTTGTCCCACTTTGGGAAAAGACCATGAAAATACGGTAGAATTCATAATATCGTGTACTGATGTTTCGATTTCTCGATGTTTTAGCTTTGAATTTTTTTTGTTTCCATTTCTCGCTTTTTCGATTTCTGTACTTTTCGGCGTTTTGATTTTTCAATTTTCCAATTTATCGATGTTTCGATTTTTCAAGTTTTTGATTTCCCAATTTTTCGTCATCTCAGTTTTGGAATTGTGGCGGCGCAATAACAACTCGGTGAGCGGAGATAAGCGGCCTCGTGGTCTAGTGGTCCAGGATACCTGCCCGGAGAGCGGGAGGCCTGGGGTTCGATTCCCACCGAGACAAAATTTTTCTTCGCTGACCTACAGAATATTTGATTTTTCCAACTTTTCATTTTGTCGATTCTTCAATATTCCGATTTTTCAGTTTTTCGAGTTTCAAATCTTAGATTTTTTAATTTTTAAAGTTTTTGATTTATTGATGTTTCGATTTCCCAATTTTTTAATTTTTCGATATTTTAATTGTTCAATTTTTTAAATGTGAAGTTTTCGATTTCTTGATTTTTCAGGTTTTAAATTTCTCAACGATTTTTCAATTTCCAATTTTTCGATTTCAGTTTTGGGGTTTTTCAATATTTTGGTTCTTCAATTATTCGATTGTTCGATTTTTCAATTTTTTGATTTTTAAATTATAGATTTTTCGATTCCCGATTTTTCTATTTTTAGTACTTCGATTTTCTATTTTTCAATTTTTCAAATTTCGAATTTTAAATTTTTCATTTTACTGATGTTTCAATTTTTCGACTTACAATTTTTTAATTTTTAATTATTCAATTTCTTGATTTTCCCATTTTCGATTTTTCATGTTTTTTATTTTCAAATGTTTGGATTATTATTTAAATGTTCGATTTTTCGACTTCCCGATTTTCAATGTTTTAATTTTCAGTTTTTCAATTCTTTTTCATTTTCCAAGTTTTTGGTTATTTAAATGTTCGATTTTTTCACTTCGATTTTTCAATTTTTTGATTTATCAATTTTTCAATTACTGGATTTTTCAATTTTTCGACTTCTCTAGTTTTCGATTTCCTGACTTTTTGATGTTTCGATTTCTCGATATTTTAGCTTTGATTTTTTTTATGTTTCCATTTCTCACTTTTTCGATTTCTGTACTTTTCGGCGTTTTGATTTTTCAATTTTCCAATTTTTCGATTTTTCGATTTTTCAAGTTTTCGATTTCTTAATTTTTCATCTCAGTTTTGGAATTATGGGGACACAATAACACGTCGGTAAGCGGAGAAAGATAAGTGGCCTCGTGGTCTAGTGGTGCAGGATACCTGCCCGGAGAGCGAGAGGCGTGGGGTTCGATTCCCACCGAGGCAACAACATTTTTCTTCGTTTACCTGCAGAATATTTGATTTTTCCAACTTTTCATTTTGTCGATTCTTCAATATTCCGATTTTTTAAGTTTTCGATTTTCAAATTTTAGATTTTTGAATTTTTGAAGTTTTTGGTTTATTGATGTTTCGATTTCCGATTTTTAAATTTTTCGATATTTTAATTGTTCAATTTTTTAATGTGAAATTTTTCGATTTCTCGATTTTTCAGGTTTTATATTTCTCAACGTTTTTTCAATTTCCAATTTTTCGATTTCAGTTTTGGGGTTTTTCAATATTTTGGTTCTTCAATTATTCGATTGTTCGATTTTTCAATTTTTTGATTTTTAAATTATAGATTTTTCGATTTCCCGATTTTTCTATTTTTAGTACTTCGATTTTATATTTTTCAATTTTTCAAATTTGGAATTTTAAATTTTTCATTTTACTGATGTTTCGATTTTTCGACTTCTTGGTTTCAAATTTGTCAGTTTTTCAATTTTTCGAATTCTCGAGTTACAGAGAAAAAGTTATTCGCCTTCTCAATTTTTCGATTTTTCGACTTTTCAATTTCTTAATTTTTCGATTTTTTAGTTTTTCAATTATTCAATTTCTTGGTTTTAGCATTTTCGATTTTTCATGTTTTTGATTTTCAAATGTTTGGATTTAAATTTTCGATTTTTCGACTTTTGGATTTCTCAATTTTACAACTTTTCGATTTATCAATTTTACTATTTTCAGTACTCCGATATTTCAATTTTTCAATTTTTCTAATTTTTAATATTAAATTTTTCAGTTTTTTTATTTTTTTCATTTACGATTTTTTACCAATTTTTTCATCAATTTTTTAATTTTTCGATTTTTTTAATTTTTCAATTATTCAATTTCTTGATTTTCCCATTTTCGATTTTTCATGTTTTTGATTTTCAAATGGTTGGATTATTTAAATTTTCGATTTTTCGACTTTTGGATTTCACAATTTTACAACTTTTCGATTTATCAATTTTATTATTTTTCAGTACTTCGATGTTTCAATTTTTCAATTTTTCTAATTTTTGATTTTAAATTTTTCAGTTTTTTGATGTTTCGATTTTTCGATTATGCCATTTTTCAATTTTTCTTCTCGATTTATAGAGAAAAATTGTTCAATTTTTCATTTTTTCAGTTCTTCAGTTTTTTTATTTTTCTATTTTCGATTTTTTACCAATTTTTTGTTTATTTAAATTTTCGATTTTTGACTTCGATTTTTCGACTTCTAGGTTTTAGATTTGTCAGTTTTTCAATTTTTCGATTTTTCAATTTTTCGAATTCTCGGGTTATTGAGAAAAAATGTTTCAATTTCTCAATTTTTCGATTTTTCCACATCTCGATGTTTTAATTTTTCGATTTTTTAGTTTTTCACGTCTTCAATTTTTTTATTTCCGCATTTTCGATGTTTTCGCTTTCTCAATTTTTTGATTTATCAATTCTTTAATTTTTCAATTTTTTAATTTTTCAATTATTCAATTTCTTGATTTTCCCATTTTCGATTTTTCATGTTTTTGATTTTCAAATGTTTGGATTATTTAAATTTTCGATTTTTCGACTTCGATTTTTCGACTTTTGGATTTCTCAATTTTACAACTTTTCGGTTTATCAATTTTACTGTTTTTCAGAACTTCGATATTTCAATTTTTCAATTTTTCTTCACGATTTATAGAGAAAACTGTTTTAATTTTTCAATTTTTTAATTTTTCAATTCTTTGATTTTCAAATTTTTGGATTATTTAAATTTTCGATTTTTCGACTTTCCGATTTCTCAATTTTACAACTTTTCTACTTATCGATTTTACTATTTTTCAGTACTTCGATATTTCAATTTTTCAATTTTTCTAATTTTTAATTTTAAATTCTTAAATTTTTTGATGTTTCGATTTTTCGATTATGCCAGTTTTCAATTTTTCTTCTCGATTTATAGAGAAAAATGTTTTAATTTTTCAGTTTTTTTATTTTTCCATTTTCGATTTATTACCATTTTTTTGTTTATTTAAATTTTCGATTTTTGACTTCGATTTTTCGACTTCTTGGTTTTAGATCTGTCAGTTTTTCAATTTTTCGATTTTTCAATTTTTCGAATTCTCGAGTTATAGCGAAAAAATGTTTCAATTTCTCAATTTTTCGATTTTTCGACATCTCGACGTTTTAATTTTTCGATTTTTTAGTTTTTCACGTCTTCAGTTTTTTTATTTCCGCATTTTCGATGTTTCATGTTTTTCGATTTTTGACTTCGATTTTTCGACTTTTTGATTTTAGATGTCAGTTTTTCAATTTTTCGAATTCTCGAGGTATAGAGAAAAAGTTGTTCGTTTTCTCAATTTTTCGATTTTTCGAATTACCAATTTTTTAATTTTTCGATATTTAATTTTTCAATTATTCAATTTTTTGATTTTCCCATTTTCGATTTTTCATGTTTTTGATTTTCAAATGTTTGGATTATTTAAATTTTCGATTTTTCGACTTCGATTTTTCGACTTTTGGATTTCTCAATTTTACAACTTTTCGATTTATCAATTTTTCAATTTTTCAAATTTTTAATATTAAATTTTTAAATTTTTTGATGTTTCGATTTTTCGATTATGCCAGTTTTCAATTTTTCTTCTCGATTTATAGAGAAAAATGTTTTAATTTTTCAGTTTTTCAATTCTTCAGTTTTTTAATTTTTCGACTTCTTGGTTTTAGATTTGTCAGTTTTTCAATTTTTCGAATTCTCGAGTTATAGAGAAAACATTGTTCAATTTCTCAATTATTCGATTTTTCGACTTTTCCAGGTTTTCATTTTTCGATTTTTTAGTTTTTCACGTCTTTGATTTTCAAATTTTTAGATTATTTAAATTTTCGATTTTTCGACTTTTGGATTTCTCAATTTTACAACTTTTCGATTTATCAATTTTACTATTTTTCAGTACTTCGATATTTCAATTTTTCTAATTTTTAATTTAAAATTTTTCAGTTTTTTGATGTTTCAATATTTCGATTATACCATCTTTCAATTTTTCTTCTCGATTTATATAGAAAAATTGTTCAATTTCTCAATTTTTCGACGTCTCGACATTCAATGTTTTAATTTTTCAGTTTACAATTCTTCAGTTTTTTTATTTTTCCATTTTCGATTTTTTACCAATTTTTTGTTTACTTAAATTTTCGATTTTTGACTTCGATTTTTCGACTTCTTGGTTTTAGATTTCTCAATTTTTCAATTTTTCAATTTTTCGAATTCTCGAATTACAGAGAAAACATTGTTCAATTTCTCAATTATTCAATTTTTAGATTTCCGCATTTTCAATTTTTCATGTTTTTGATTTTCAAATTTTTGGATTATTTAAATTTTCGATTTCTCAATTTTACAACTTTTCGATTTATCGATTTCCCTATTTTTCAGTACTATTTCTATTTTCGCAATTTTTCGATTTTTCGACTTTTCCAATTCTTAAGTTATTTGATTTCTCTATTTTCGATTTTTCATGTTTCTGCACACATTGTACTTCACATCAGATCTTTTTTGTTTTTATAAATCTTTGCTACTTTTTTCTTGGAAATATCTTGTTGATTAATGCTTCCATGATATAATTGCTGATTTAAAATTTCACGAGAGTGTATGGCGAATTTAAATGTTGTTTATTGCTCTTTTCGAAACTTTAACACTTGTTCAGTTGTAGTTTAATGTCAAAGTCGTAAAAATTGAACATTTAAATGAAATCACGGTGAAATAACACAGAAACGCGTAGCGGAAGCGGAGTGCGCGGTTCCTTGTCGAGCTGCGCAAAAGATGCAGCTCTTGAATAAAAGTCAGGGACGGTTGGTATGACGTGACGCAGTAACAAAAATCGCTTTATCAAACTTCCCAGGCCACCTGTAACCGAAGTTGGCGATTGTCGAACAAGAGGAACTCACCTGACGTCGTGCGGCATCGGCAGCGTCGCCCCTCTATCCAGCAGGATCTTGATAATTTCATAGTTGTCACGATGGGCCGACAAGATCAGAGGGGTGATGTCAGGGGTGAAAGTGGCGGTATCGGGCGGCAGGGCTTCCCAACTCTTGAAAAATTCATTATATTCATTGAGTTGCGGTATGAAAAGGTAAAAGTTTGGCGGCACACAAAAGCCGCCGAAGTTCAAAAATCGATCCGCGGCTGGCAAACAGGAAATGACAGAAGTTACTGAGTCGAAAAATAACTCGAGTAATTAATGAGCTCGGCGATCATTTTTCATCTTACGTGCGGTTCGCCTTGCTTGTGGATGGTCTCTTCGTGGTCCAGCAGCACCTCCACGGCCTCCACGAACTCCTCGGAGATGGCGTGCAGCAGCGCGTCCTTGGTCTCGACTTTGTGTTCGATCAGCAGCTCGACCATCTCTAGATTTTCGTTATCTATGGCCATAAGAAGTGCACTTCGGCCTAATGGATCCACGCAGTTGATGTTAATGAATCCCGTTTCTTCGGCCTTCTGCAGCGTTCTGTAACGAGTTTTATTTTTGAGAGAACGTGGTTACGAAGTTAGCGTCGCTTCCAATATTCCCGGGATAATGCGCTTGTTAACTTAATTAAAATCAAAACTGTACATAAGCGATGGTTACTGTTAAATGCATGGCCCCGACCTCTAGAAGGGTAATATATCTCGAAGTTAAATGATGTAATATCGAGTTATACCGCAAAACCCTTTCGCTTGCTGCTAACTTGTCAACGCTCCGGCAAATATTAATTAAAGTTCGAGCGTTTAGTCCAATTTCAAAGAGAATTAAGTTTAATTAACGCCGAGAAAAATCCGCTTGTTTATAATTAAAACGTCACGTGGTGGAGCGGAGGTTTCGCTGGGGGAATCACGGCTTTTATGGCTAGTTATTACGTGGATGTCATGTATTTTTAAAGTTTGTGGATGAAGTTGGCGGGAAGGTTTCTCCATCTACAACTTTCTTTATTATTTACCTTAAACTCACTTTCCGCTCTAGATTCAAACAGAATCTCTGAAAAACAGGTCGAGGGGAGGGAATTTTTATTAAAATACGAATGGAAGCCGCTGCACGAAAAAAGACATGCATGTTTTATGATATCCTTTCTGAGGTCGGACGTATGAATGGTGCCCAGAAAAATTAATGTAACGCCGGATGCGCCAAATGAACATCGGACAAGATTCCCAGCCGTTATTTATTTTTCGATGGAAGTTAATATTTACAGCTGGAGGATTCCCCGAGGATACATTAGAAAACTCGGGATCGATCAAACTCGAAAAGTGTTTTTGTGTTTCCGTAAAATTTTTATCGTGTTTGTGTAGGGGACAAGGATTTGCAAATAGCGCAATGACGATGTAAACGCGACCTTCTGGCAGTGTTGGGGACAGATACTTTTAAAAATATCTAGATACAGATACAGATATATGGAAGATAAAAGTATCTAGATACAGATACAAGAAAACAGATACTTTTTGAAGCTTTGGCGAATAAAATAACTGAAAACATGTTTATGTATTTTTTTAAGTATTGTTTAATGATTTTTTTAAAATTAACAACATTTCGAACGTATTGTCACCTAAATTATTTCTTCTTAGTGTCAGAAAAGTCTAAACACCCGGTGCAGAAGAACGGATTGTGGTCATAAATTTAAAAATAAACATTTTATCAATGCGGATTAGACTAAAAATAACAGTATTCCCAAAATTTCTGGGAAAATGGAGTGAGTCGTTCCTGATTTAATCAATAGAATAAATTGACTCATTCATTAATTTTTTTGAGCCACCTAGGTATATAAGCAGATCTAAAAAATATGAATGCAATGATAAATTACAAGTAAAAACTCATCATATTTTGCACATTTTTAGTAAAAATTTATTCGCCAAAATTTTGAGATGACGTTATCAATTTTTTAGTAGCATAATCCTGAACTTGTAGTTTATAAATACATTATTGAGATTTTTCGTCTTTTCGGTTTTTCGATTTTTCAACTTTTGATGTTTCAATTTTTCAATATTTCAATTTTTGACATTTTCAATTTTTCCATTCTTCAAATTTTCAATTTCTCCATTTTTTAATTTTTCGATTTCTCAATTGTCCGATGTTTCAATGATACGATTTCGCAATTTTTAAACTTTTCGATATTTTAATTTTTCGTTTTTCAAAATTCTAGATTTTTCGATTTCTCGAGTTTTCAGTTCTTCTATGCATATTTCAGTTTTTCAATTTTCGGAATTTATAAAATTTCTGATTTTCCATTTTTTTTCAATTTTTCGATTTTCCAGTTTTTCGATGTTTCGATTTTTCTATTATAGGATTGTTCAATTTCTCGATTTGTAAATTTTAGATTTTCCAATTTTAATTTTTTTGATTTTTTCATGTTTGGAATGATAAATTACAAGTAAAAACTCATATTTTCCACATTTTTAGTAAAATTTATTCGCCAAAATTTTGAGATGACGTTATCAATTTTTTAGTAGCATAATCCTGAACTTGTGGTTTATAAATACATTATTGAGATTTTTCGACTTTTCGGTTTTTCGCTTTTTCAACTTTTGATGTTTCAATTTTTCAATATTTCAATTTTTGACATCTTCAATTTTTCCATTCATCAAATTTTCGATTTCTCCATTTCTTTATTTTTCCATTTTTCAATTGTCCGATGTTTCAATGATACGATTTCTCAACTTTTCAACACTTCAATTTTGATAATTGTTCTGTTCCCGGATTTTTTAATTTTTCTATCCTTTAACGGTTTTTCGATTTTCATTTTTTCGAACCTTCAACTTTTCAATATTTGAATTTTCAATTGATTTTGTTTCCTTTTCGATTTCTTGATGTCTCGATTTCTCAGTTTTTCGATTTTTTGAAATTTAGAATTTTCAATTCTTTCATTTTTTCAATTTTCAGCTTTTCGATATTCGAATTTTTGTGTTTTCGATTTCTCGATTTTTCAGTTTTTCCATTTTTAGATTTTTCAATTTTTCCATTTTTCGACTTTTCAATTTTGGAATTTTTGATTTTTTGACTTTCGATTTTTCGTTTTCTCTACATTTCGATTTTTTGATTTTCGTTTTTAGAATAAATTGCATTCGTCGAAGTTTAGATTTTTCGATATTTGAATTTTCAATTTTTTTTGTTTCCTTTTCGATTTTTCGATGTTTCAATTTTTCAATTTTTCAATGATCCGATTTCTTGATTTCCCATTTTTTCGATATTTCAATTTCTTTATTTTTCGAATTTTCTCATTTTCGTTATTCTAATTTTTTTTATTTCGATCTCGATTTATCAATTTTTCCATTTTTCGCCTTTTTATACTTCCATTTTCTATGTTTTCAGTTTTTCGATTTTCCATTTTTAGATTTTCGAAAATTCGATTTTCAAATTTCTAGGATTTTCGTTCCTTCGGATATTTATTTGAATTTATTTGATTTATTGAAATTTCTGCATTTTTCAAATTTTAAGTTTTTCGATGTTTCGATTTCTCAATTTCCAAGTTTTTCGATTTTTCCATTTTTCGAATTTTAAAATTTTTATTTTTTAATATTGAACTTTACATTGATTTTGTTTCCGTTTCAATTTGTCGATATTTCAATTGTTTAATTTTTCGATGTTTCGATTTCTCCGTTTTTCAATTTTTCGATTTTTTTCATTTTTCCAATTTTCAGATTTTCGATATTTGAATTTTTTTAATTTCGATTTCTCGATTTTTCAATTTTCCATTTTTTGACTTTTCAATGTTTCGATTTTAAAATTTTTAATTTTTCGACTTTGAATTTATGGTTTTTTCTATATTTTGATTTTTGGATTTTTATATTTTTCGAAATCTCAATTTTCGAATTTTTGACTTTTCGGTTTTTCAATTCCCGATTTTTTTATTTTCATTTTTTCGATTTCTTGATTTATCGATCTTTTTATGTGTTGATTTGTCGATGTTTCATTTTTTAAATTTTTTTATCTCCATTTCTCCGTTTTCGATTTTTCGGCTTTTCAATTTTTCGATTTTCCAATTTTTCGATTCTTCTATTACTCAGTTTTTACTCATTTCAGTTTTGGAATTTTGGAATTTCTGATTTTTTCATTTTTCCAATTTTAAAATTTTCGATATTCGATTTTTTTATTTTCGATTTCTCGATTTTTTCATTTTTCGACTTTCAGATTTTTTCGATTTTTAACCTTCAATTTTTGTTTTTTTCTACATTTCGATTTTGGATTTTCGTTTTTTCGAGCATTGAATTCATCGAAGTTTAGATTTTTCGATATTCGAATTTTCAATTCATTTTGTTTCCTTTTCGACTTCTCGATTTTTCAGTTTTTCAATTTTTCCATGTTTCGATTTCTCGGTTTTTCCGTTTTTCAATTTTTACATTTTTCCAATTTTCAGATTTTCGATTTTTGATTTTTAGATATTCTATTTTCCAATTTTTCCATGTTTCGATTTCTCGATTTTTCGAAATTTCGAATTTTAGGTTTTCTCATTTTTCCATCTTTTAGATTTTAGGTATTCAAATTTTTTTATTTTCGGTTTCTCGATTTTTCAATTTTTCCATTTTTCGATTTTTGGATTGTAGAATGTTTGATTTTTTGACTTTCGATTTTTCGTTTCTCTAAATTTAGATTTTTGGATTTTTATACATATTTTTCGAAATTCCGATTTTCGAATTTTTGATTTTGGGTTTTTCGATTTTAGATTTTCAGATTTTCATTTTTTCGAATATTTAATTCAGCGAAGCTTCAATTTTTCAATATTTGAATGTTCAATTTATTTTGTTTCCTTTTCGATTTCTCAATGTTTCGATTTTTCAACTTTCTATTTTTCGTTTTTTCTAAATGTCGATCTTTGCATTTTCGTTTCGCGAATATTTGATTCATCGATGTTTGAATATTTGAATTTTCGATTTATTTTATTTTCTTTTTGATTTCTCGATGTTTCAATTATTCAATTTTTCGTTGATTCGATTTCTCGATTTATCAACTTTTCGATTTTTCGACTTCCTATATGTTTTTTTTCTGTATTTCAATTTTTGGATTTTTAGATTTTTGGAAATCTCAATTTTCGAATCTTTGGTTTCCCAGTTTTCCGATTTTTCCATTTTTAGATTTTCGAATTTTCGGTTTTCTAGTTTCTCGGATTTTCGTTGCTTCGGATATTTTTTTTTATGGATTTCCCGATTTTTCGGTTTCTAATTTTTTGAATAATCGATTTTCCAATTTTTTCATTGCTCAATTTTTGTTCTTTCCAGTTTTTTTTTCGATTTTCAAGTTTTGAACTTTTCATTTTTTTTTACTTTTCGATTTCTGACATTTTCAATTCTCTTCTTCAGTTTTTTGATGAAATTTTGTACTTATATTAGGAATATCATGTAGATGGTAAAACGCTAACCAAAATTTGTCTAATCATCCCCACCACTAATGCGATGACGTCACTTCAAAATTGTACATAGTAAATGGGTCTTAAATTGTATAAAATAACATAGTCCTACAGATGTAGTTTACGACTCCGAATTGAG